CTTAGTATCTTGGGCTTGACTGAGACCTAGATTCGTCCAGAAGACTCAGCAACCCCTGCTGCTCTCTCTAACATCTTCTCTTTCTTTCACATCCCCACGTCAGGTTGGGAGGGGTGGGGGTACTGGTCTTCTCATTTCCAACAATTGGAAATACTCAACCCACTCTACCGTATGCAATAATAACTCATTTGAATAACTATTACGGTAACAGCTCCTAAAACTCCATGTTGTAGTAATCTAACGCCCTCCTGGGCAACTGGGCACCTTTATAGAGGAGCTGGATGGGCTGCTGTCCTCATTCCCTGAGGATGACAATCCACTTGTAATCTTTGGCGACTTCAACATCCATCTAGAGAAGCTTTATGCTGCAGACTTCCATTCACTCCTAGCTTCATTTGATTTCAAACAGCTTATCACCACGAGCACTTACAAATCAGGCAACCAGCTTGACTTAATATACACACGCAATTGTATTGCAGACAACATTTTAGTAAAACCCCTACACATCTCTGATCATTTCTTTATAACATTTAACCAACATTCTGCTGTCTGTGTGCCACCAACCTCTCTACCGGTTGCTTTTAGGCAAAATCTACGCTCCCTTTCATCCTCCCATCTTTCCTCTGTAGTGTCTTCCTCTCTACCCTCACCCACCCATTTCTCATCTCTGGATGTGAATGCAGCAACTGACACTTTATGCTCCACTTTAACTTCTTGTCTAGACAATATATGTCCTCTCTCTTCTAGGCCAGCACGTGCTGCCCCTTCTAAACCCTGGCTGTCTGATGTTCTTCATGAACATCGGTCCAAACTCAGGGCAGCAAAGAGAAAATGGCACAAATCGAAAGATCCATCAGACCTGATAATGTATCAGTCTTTTCTTTCATCTTTCTCTGCTGAAGTCCATACTACCAAATCTTCATATTTCCACAAAAAGTTCAACAGTGCTTCGGACACACGTAATCTCTTCAAAACATTCAGTTCTCTCTGTCCCCCTCCACCACCTCTTTAACAGCAGAGGATTTTGCCACATTCTTCACAGACAAAACTAAAACCATCAGCAGTCAGTTCCCAGCTCCACACACAGAAACTCAAACCAACCACATCCACTGCAAAAACTCCCCTCTCCTCCTTCTGTCCCCTCACTGAGGCAGAAGTATTGAAACTTCTCCTCTCCAGCCATCCTACAACCAGCCCTCTAGACCCAATCCCCTCACACCTTCTCCAGGCAATCTCTCCTGCACTCTTACCAGCACTCACACATATCATCAACACATCTCTTCTCACAGGCATTTTCCCCACCACATTCAAGCAGGCTCGGGAAACACTACTGTTCAAAAAAACCTACATTAAACACTTCACTTGTAGATAGCTACAGACCTGTCTCTCCTTCCATTCATAGCGGAAACACTTGAACGAGTTGTTTTCAACCAGGTATCATTATTTATTTCACAGAATAACCAACTGGACATTAACCAGTCATGTTTCAGAAGTAGCCATTCAACTGAGACTGCATTACTGTCAGTCTCTGAAGCCTTGCGGATTGTGAAAGCTGATTCCAAATCATCAGTTTTCATTCTGCTGGATCTATCTACTGCTTTTGTCACTGTGAATCATCAGATACTCCTGTCCACCCTCTCATCACAGGGCATCACAGGGATTCCACTTTGCTGGTTTGAATCCTATCTCACAGGTAGGTCTTTCAGGGTGGCCTGGGGAGGGGAGGTATCCAAAGCATATCAACTAGTCACTGTGGTTCCTCAGGGATCAGTCCTTGGATCCCTCCTCTTCTCCATATACACTACATCACTGGGACCCATCCCTAATGACACGCAGCTCTATCTTTAATTTCAACCAGATGATCCAACGGTAGCTGCATGGATCTCAGGCTGCCTGGCGGACATCTCGGCATGGATGAAAGAACATCACCTATAGCTCAACCTGGCAAAACGGAGTTTCTTGTCTTCGCTGCCTCTTGACTCTACAGCATGATTTCACCATTCAGCTAGGTTCATCAACAATTACCCCAACAAGTTCACTCAGAAATCTTGGTGTAATCTTTGATGACCAGCTGACTTTCAAAAACCACTCAATCTTGCAGGTTTGCATTGCACAACATCAGAAAGATCAGACCCTTCCTACTGTAACTGCACAACTTCTTGTCCAGGCCCTTGTCATTTCTACTGCAATGCTCTTCTGGCTGGATTCCATAATGTGCAATCAAACCTCTACAAATGATTCAGATTGCAGCAGCATAACTGGTTTTCAATGAGCCCAAAAGAGCCCATGTTACACTGTAGTGAGTGACGCCTCGTGGTACCATCACAGAGAGGCACAAAATCACTTTCCAAAACATTTTCGTTCACCATTGCTGGCTGGTGGAATGATCTTCCCACCCCTATCTGGAATGCCGAATCCCTGACAATATTCAAGCAACAGCTGAAAACTCATCTCTTTCGTCAACATTTGACTGCATCCTAAAATAAAAAAATAAATAAAAAAAACGTTGTATTCTCTTTCCTTAATCCCCCCTGTCTAGTACTTGTACTAACCTGAACAATGTCTGAAACTTTGTATTACGAGCACGTCCTGTGATGAATCGCTTGTTATATTCCTCAATTGTAAGTCACTCTGGATAAAATTATTGGTGCTTTAATAATATAAATGCATATATGCTACATTATTGCGTGATTACATAAATGAACTAGTAAATTCATAAATGAACTGTCCAAAATAACCCGTTTGCCTGAGTCCCCGAATTACCGTTAATAATGTTGTAAATAATTATCAGTTTCTTGCACAGACGGATCATTTTGCTTCATAAGACCACAATATAGCGTCAGGAGTCACATGTATTAATTTTGTGTTCCTTTATATGCATTTTTATTCTCAAATATGGGGAGCCGCTGACTTGCATTTTATGAATCACCAATGACCACGGTTTCTTCTTTACTGTTAAAGGTGGGGTAAGTGATTTCTGGTAGCCAATGTTGACATTTGAAATCACCAAAACAAACTTGCTATTCGGCCCGAATCAGTTTTCTAAAGCGCTTTTGAAAAATCACTTACCCCACCTTTAAACTCAAGAAAAAAGGCACCTACATCTTGGATGGCCTGAGGGTGAGGAAATTTTCATTTTTGGGTGAACTATCCCTTTAAGGGGCATGTCGATGGGAAATTGTCCCAAACTCAAATCCTGGCCTTTCAGAAGGGTAGAAACAATAATTAATATTCTAAACTTCAATCTGTTTTTCAATTTATCTGTTTTTAATAAATCTCTAGCAATGAAGAACCCACTAAATGCTCTTCTCAGAGGAATCTAATTTAAAGAAGCACTCAAAAATAAGTAAATAACTAAATTAACATAAAATTAACATGATTGAAGTGACTCACTCAGTGACTGAGTGAGTGAGTGAGTGACTGACTGACGGACTGACTCACTGAAGAGAGTTTGGTGCAGAAGCAGTTGTATGTGCTGGACACATGAAAACGGACAAAGGTGTTAGTGGTGTATTAGTAACCAAGAGGATTATTCAGATATCTGCATTGCAAATGAGATCTGCATTTAAAACAGAGTTGCCCTTCAAATAACATCTGTTAAAGTAATCATAAGGCACAAAGCAGCACATATGAATGTCTGCATATTACACTTTGAAGCTCCCCATTGTCGTGCCTTAGAGTCTTTCATCTTAGACTTGTAAAAGGTGTAATGAACATTTAACAGGAAGCTTTGTATAATTGTATAATAATAAAAGATAATTGACAATTAGCACAAAGTTTGGATTGGTTGGTTTGGATGGTTCTGTTTTGGACAAGAATCCCCCTCTCATCCACACTGAAAAAGTGAAATGACTGTCATTTATTTAAAGTGCATTTTTTGTTTTGTTCAGTTTGTCTAAAAGAAAACAACACTCCCCATAAAATAGAAAGAAACAATGTTGCTTAAATATATTTTTTTTCTTGACACCAGTGTGTTGATGTGCATAACAGATACTGGCTATGTACAAATTATTGTGGGTTTTATTATTATTATTATTATTATTATTATTATTAATTGAATGGTATGACAATTAGAGATTAGACTGTACAGAAATTAAAATCTACATGCTACACTATACTCATAGTCACGCAATGCTGATGTTGTTAACATTAATAATGTGAGAATAAAGTATAACACTAATAATAATTTGCACGGTTTGATGTGTTATGAGCTAACCGATCTTTAGATTAAACGGGTTAAAGCAAAAAAAAAAAAATCCTGAGCCTGAACTTTTTTCCGGGGGTTGCGGGGGCGGACACATACACAGGGTTATTTGGCAAACAAAAAAAGAAACT